GGTTCAGGGGATCTCGTAGTCGAGCAGTCTCGACTAGAGCTTTCTTACTTGTTGATAATCAATTATTGAAATATACGAGTGCTAGTTTAGCTCTGCTCTCGAGTCTTTGATAAACTATTTTTCATTGCAAATATTCTCTAGCTTAATTTGGCCTGCTTCTACCTTTAAGAGCAGCTGTTGACTCATCATGAGACAGGGCTCCCTATTGAGTGCCTGAAAGTGGACAAAGACTATGGATCCGAAATAATTGGCCGCAGAAAAGAGGCATGTAGGAGCTGCCTGCAATCTGCTTCCAATGACTATGACTGCGCCAGTGCCGTTCCTGTGCCTCTACCTGTGTGTTCTGCCAATACTCTGATAGCCACGCGTCAATGACCAATGTTGGGCTTCGGTTTTTGCCCAGTCAGTGAATTGGGCTTTGCTGTTGGCTTTATTAAATGGCTGCCGTGTGATCAGCTCCTCTCACTCCTCTCAATTATCCCGCCCCATTGCTGTTTGATTTGCGTTGACTGCCATGCTGTGGCCGTAGCTGTGCTCTGACTGATAGCCAGCTTTTGGTTGACTCCCGGCTGGAGTTCTGTATACGACGCTGTGGTCTGCGCGCATATTTACATACAATTTTAAGCCAAATCGTGAGCCACACTCTTGATACACTCATGACGCATCGAGTGCGGCATAGCTGCGCTCGATAGTGCTTTCTGCTGCGTTTTCATTCCGCTCTTTCAGCTCTTAGGTTGTCGAGAAACAAGCCAATTATTTGTGAGAGAGACGTGGGTGGACAGCATGTCTCCTGGTTTATATACAAACAAATACAAGTAATAGAGGACCCGCTCTTCCATTGCTTCCGTTCTTCTTGCTGCGCTCTCTTTCTCTCTCTGTTTCTCTCTCTTACCTACTCTCTCTCCCTCACACTCTTTCTGCCGCCAGCGTTTTTAAGTGGAATTAATATTATATGTCGCAAAGGATACTATAGAAAAAAATAAGAAAGCTCTAGACTGCTCGACTACAAGATCCCTTGAGCCCAACAATAACATGATATTCCAATGATTCTTCGCTTCTTTTCTTCCTCGAGAAACCACACATGCACACACGCATACGCACGCAAATCGTGATAATAATATAATATTCTATCGAAGTAGTATAGTGTAGCATTGAATATAGTATTTAAAATACACAACAATCTAGGGGTAATGGGTTGTATAAGAAAATAAAACATAAATCAAAATTAATTTTTCTTTCCAGTGGGCTTGGGGTATAAAAATGTCCGATTCATCCACTCGAGAATTTCTCGATTTTTCTATCCTGTAATTAATCTATTTATGAAGACATCCAAATTCTGAACGCAATTTTTAACCTTTTTAATATCCTTCAGGCGAACTAGAGCAATATTTTCCAACATTTACTGTTTTTTTAATAAAAGAACAAATTCAAAATGTGACTTTATCAATAACCTGAGATGCTAATCCTAGATAATTCTAGATAGAATATAAAAAGCTCGCCTATGCCCAACTCGAGCTCATCTATACACGGGGTATATAGAGCCGTTTGCAAGCTATTGTATTTTTCTATCAAGCTTTTGCCAGCGCCATCGTCTGCCATGCACTTCAAATAGACAATAAATAAAGCACTATATGCTAGACAGAGACGACACCAGAGAGATGGCAAATGAAAAAGCCATAATTGCATTTATTATGCTGATAAAAGCAGAGACATGAACGACACATACCTACACTATATGCGAGCGGTTCTTGCTCCCTCTCTCTCTCTCTCTCTCTCTCTGAGTTTGTGTGTGTGAAAGGATAACCAACGCAATTGTATCAATGTATGCGCGTGCTTGTGTGTGTGTGTGTTTGCTGAGAAAGGATAACCAACGCAATTGTATCAATGTATGCGCGTGCTTGTGTGTGTGTGTGTTTGCTGCATTCTCCACATTGGCAGCCATTTTGTGGCGCAGCACGAGCCAGAAGCTGGTCAGGATAACTGTCCAAGAGCAGGAGCATATGCCTTGTTTGTTTGCAAATGAATTTAATAACGAAAATAATGCCACTAAAATAGTTTATAGAGCAGCAAAGGATGCACGGCAGTACGGAGGACCAACGCCAACAGAGTGCAAAATAAAATTTCATTATCGTTCATCGGGCGCCAGTTGTTTGCCCAGACAGCCGCACAGTTAATTTCGTGATCCCAAATTAAGTTAAACCCCCCTTTATTTAAAAGAAGAACTTACCTTAAATACGGCCGAAGTAAAAAATATGGGCAGCAGAATAAATACTACACCGGAGAGTACAATTTGCAGATTAAGCTCTCCAACGGGCTCGATTTTCCAGGGTATTAACGAACAGCCTGTAAGTGATACAAATGATAATAATAAGCTGTGGTAACGAAACGACCATAACAGCAGCAACTTCTATTAAGTTTTCAACTTGCTGAGCTAACAGCTTTGAATCCAAAATGGTGGCTTAACAGCAAGCGTTAATGTTAAACTCAGGTGGATAATCAAATCCGAAATGTTATTTGGCATTAGAAGCGACTTTGTATTCAGCGAGCGAATCGCCCCAGAAAAGATATAAGAAAATCAAATCTTTCTATTGATGTTGCATATTACTGTGATTTATTTGAATGGAAAAGCAACAATCGGACACGACTTATAGAAAACTATAATATGCAATGATTGTATGGTAGCATTAAGAAAAAATTAAATAATATTACATGTCATTGTTTCATAATCCCATTCTTCTATCATCCTATATTGGGCACTTACCGAGGAACCTGTAGGCGCCATGCATAGCCAAATATCCTTGAAAGAGTGTCAGCAGTACGCCATACCAGATCGACCAGAGCGAATTCAGATGTAGATAGCTGCTGGAGTCGTGGCCAGAATTCTGCAGATTCGTATATCGACTCTGATGGCGCTTCGACTTGATGTACTTAGCCTGAAGCTGCTGCTGTTGCTGGCTCAGACTGTTGCTCGCTGCGGTTGCATTTGTTAGCACCGAGTTGCAGATGCTCGAGTTGAGGCTGCCACCGCCTCCGGGAGCTCCACCTCCACCGCCTCCTCCGGAACTACCGCTGGCTCCATGCTTGCCGCCCATTGGAAATGGAGTTTACTTGTCTAGTCCCTTTGTTTGTCGATTCTCACGCTTTTGTTTTCTCTCTCCTCTGTCTGTCTCTGTCTCTATGTATATCTCTCTCTGCCCTATTATTTTCTCTATATGTGGCTCCGCGCCTGTGCTATGGCAACAAATGTTGACAGTAAATTTCACAGCTATTTGTGTTGATTTCGTGTTGATTTTCTATTTGCTTAAGTGATGCTCATTGTTGTTCCCATTGTTGTGTGCTTTGTTATTGTTGCCCCTGGCATTGTTGTTGGCGATATTATTTGCTCGCTGATATGCCTCATTTTGTGCGTCCAGCATTTGTTGATTGCTGCCGCATACTTAGCACAGAATATAAATTGGTGCTCTATATGCGTGCATTGATTAGTTCTATTGTTAGCTGAAGCGAGAAGTTGTATTTGAAAAGAAAAGAATTAATTAGAATAGAGCATGACTTAAGTGTTAAGAACATGAGTACGTTTACGTAGCGGCATATCATATTCTATAGAAACTAACTAAGAAATAGTTGAATATAAATTAAGTATAAAATATATTACGTCAGCATTTACCATTCGTATTTTGTATACCCTGAACCCATTGAAAATGGGAAATCAGGGTATAATGGTTTTG